ACTTAAATATTAGGACTTCATAAGTATTCCAAACAAGGAAAGATTTTATAACCAAATCAACTGAATTATTTGCCTTGTTTTCATTTTTAAATTTGTTAACAATTTAGAACCAACAATCTATAAAAAAACATAATTTAATCAAGCGGAAGATTAAATTTCAGGTTTAATGATACTTCTAACACCATTCCATAACAAAACTACCCAAGATTAGTGTCACAACTTCACAGACTGTCTAAGAGTACTACAAATAAAGGTCTGAAAGAAATAACAAAACACTATCTCTGGGACTACATTAAAGAAACAGGAAAATAGATAGAGGGAGACGCCAAGGCCTGCGGACGCTTGCAGGACTACCTCGGGTCGCCTGATAAACAAGAAGCTGAAACCTCACTGCGGTCCAAAATCTGCAACACTGGGATCTGCACAAAAGAGTGCAGAGTGTAGTATCAGCACAACCGACCCCATGTACTGGTAAGTGTCTAGCCTAACCTCGGTCGAAAGTGTGGAATGACGGGCTAGGACCCGAGACNCGGAAGAATAGGAGACTGCCACAGGAATGAAATGCGCTGACTTGGTCAGCCTATCAACAATAACCCACACTGCATCGGACTTCCTCTGAGTCCGTAGGAGTCTACTAACGAAGTCCATAGTGATCCGCTCCCACTTCCACTCAGGAATCTTAATCTTCTGGAACAGACCACCAGGTCTCTGATGCTCGTACTTAACCTGCTGACAATTCAAAAACCGAGCCACATACGCAACAATGTCCTTCTTCATTCTCCTCCAACAATAATGCTACCGCAAATCCTGATACATCTTAGCGACGCCCGGATGAATAGAGTACCGGGAACTATGGGCCTCCTCTAGAATCAACTCCCGAATTCCATCCACATTAGGCACACAAATACTACCCTGCATCCTCAAAACACCATCATCTCCTAGTGTGACCTACTTGGCATCTCTGTGCTGCACCGTGTCTCTGAGGACACATAAATGAGGATCATCATACTGCCGATCTCGGATACGCTCCAATAAAGAAGAGCGAGCAACTGTGCAAGCTAATATACGACTGGGCTCAGAAACATCCAACCTCACAAACTGATTGGCCAAAGCCTGGACATCCAAAGCAAGCGGTCTCTCACTGACCGAAATATACGCAAGACTGCCCATACTGGCTGACTTCCTACTCAAAGCATCGGCCACCACATTGGCATTTCCCGGATGATATAAGATAGTGACATTATAGTCTTTTAACAGCTCCAACCACCTTCTCTGCCTCAAATTTAGCTCCTTCTACTTGAATAAGCATTGCAAACTCTTGTGGTCCGTGAACACCTCACATGCCACGCCATCAGATAATGCCTCCAAATCTTCAGCGCGTGAACAATGGCTGCTAATTCCAAATCATGGACTGGATAGTTCTTCTCATGAATCTTCAACTAACGCGAAGCATAAGCAATGACCTTGCCATTCTGCGTCAGCACCACACCAAGCCCAACACGAGATGCATCACAATAAACTGTATATGGGCCTGAACCTGTGGGCAAAACCAATAGGCGCCGTAGTCAAAGCTGTCTTGAGCTTCTGGAAGCTCGCCTCGCACTCATCCGACCACCTAAACTGGGCACCCTTCTGGGTCAACCTAGTCATCGGGGCTGCAATAGATGAAAACCCATCCACGAACCGACTATAATAGCCTGCCAAACCCAAGAAACTCCGGATCTCTGTAGCTGATGTGGGTCGAGGTCAGTTCTTGACTGCCTCTATCTTCTTTAGATCTACCTGAATACCCTCTGTTGAAACCACGTGACCTAAGAAAGCAACTGAACTCAGCCAGAACTCACACTTCGAAAACTTATCATACAGCTGATTATCTCTCAAAGTCTGAAGAACCACTCTCAGATGCTGCTCATGCTCCTCCCGGCTGCGGGAATAAATCAAAATATAGTCAATGAAGACTATCACGAACGAATCCAAGTAAGGCCTGAACACTCGGTTCATCAAACCCATGAAAGCTGCTGGAGCATTCGTCAAGACGAACGACATCACCAAGAACTCATAATGCCCGGTACCATGATATTTAAATATCAAGTTGTGGTCCCTCTGTGCAGGATCGGGCTGGAGTGGCCTTGGCCGTTTGATCACCTTGATACGACCGATGCCTGACACTATACTCGCTGCATCCACGTTGAAGTTATACTATGATAATCTCGGTGCATCTCTACCCCCGGGTGATCTGTCGAAGCAGTTTCTATTCGCCAAACCTCGGTTGTTTGGACCCCGGTCGCTTCTCCTTTCATTCCTGGTCGGGTGGCAATTGGATCCGTTTCCTCTTCTATCCGAGCTGCATGGCGGGTATCAATCTCAGGGTGGTCTCGGGTCCTGAGCCACAATTGTTTTCAATATGTCGTTAACTCTATTGGGGTAAACAGACCCCGAGGGAGCTCCTAGCTGATGTCCTCGACTATGATCTTTGACTGGTACCTGCTGTGGACATCGGCCCAGGTGACCGCAAGGTATTCTACCAAGTTTTGCTTCAATTGTTGAGAAGTAACCAAAATTCAGGGGTTGAGCCCCTAAGTAAATGCTTGAAAGGACCAATCATCTGTGACCGAGGTCAGGTCCATTCGTTCCATCTGGAACCTCGATATGAATTTACTAAGCATCTCGTTGTCCCTTTGTTGACATTAAATAGGTCTGATTTCCTTGTCTCAACTTTGATAGCACTAGCATGGGCTTTAACAAAGGCATATGCGAGCATAACAAACAAATCAATATAATTTGGCTGCAAGTTATGGTAACATATCATCGCTCCCTTGGATAAGGTTTCCCCAAATTTCTTCATCAACACCAACTCGATCTCCGCCCTCAAGGTCATTGCCTTTTATTTCGCACGTGTAGGAGGTCACATACTCGTTTGAATCTGTGGTTCCATTATACTTGGGAATATCGGGCATCTAGAACCTTTCGGAATTGGCTTCGGTTCCACACTCAGGGGAAAAGGCTTTTGAATAAACCTTTTGGAATCCGGTCCCTTCAATATTAGAGGCGCTCCGAAATCTGATCGACCCTAGAATTGTAAGTCTCCGCCTTCTTTTCATTTGCCTCTATCTTCTTTTCCGGATTTCACCCGTTTCGTTAGTGCTTCAAGCATTTTCATCACCACGAAAATTTCCCCGAGTCCTTACCATCTCTTTCTGTGACAATCCGTTCTTCTCTCCAAGTATCTTCTCCAACCCGCTCGGGTTCGGCCCTATTCCTTGCGTGATTTTGACTCTACAATTGTGTTATTTCCACTTTCTAGGCATATAACATTTCAAAAATCAAATGTAAGCTAACTCCATCACCTCTCCCTTGGGGCGTTTCTCAAGCTGATGGTCGGGGTACCCCGTGAATGCTATTTTCGGGATCAGCCGGTAAGTTGATATTGATAGCAACTTTTTAATTGGAGTCGACTGGGTCAGCGATTGGAACGCCATTAGGGTCTACAGGGGGCACGTCGTTTCTTGGTACCACATTATTATTTTTAATGTAGTGGCATGACTCGGTTTCAATATTCAAGTGAGCAGACTGAGAATTTGACATTTTAAATAGACCTGAAATCAAACTTCAAAGAGCAAGTGTAAAATAGGGTATGTTATACAGATTCGTATTAAATCACCACTATTATCCTTTGCTCCACGGTGGGCGCCAAACTGTTTACTCTTAAAATGAGTAGCAATTAAATTTGTATGCCGTTTAAAGGATACGTGATTTAATTTAACGCGAATGATATAAGAGCATCAAATAATTAAACTAAAGGAAAACAAAGTGATCAAATCAAATGTGATGAAACAATTAAGCCTGGTGTTAGATTTCAATGCAAATCGGTTCTGATCGAGCCCTTGAGATACTCGGTTACATCTAAGATATGAACAGCCGAAGAACACTTTGAACAATAACTAGAAGACAAAAGTAAACTTTATTGCTTTGATGCGTGCCAACAGTGATGAAAAAATGAAAAGGTTCTCCCATTTATCTAGTAGGGGAGTTTCAATCCTAGTGCAAGTCTAAATAAGGTAAAAATCCCTTTCTCCTAGCAAAACACGATTTGCAGTTGATATCGGGCGTGATCCGTGCTGTAATATTCAGTTGATGGCGGATATTTCGGCACCCATCCATCCTCTCTAACCGTCTTCCTCTTCTCCTCGATTCCAAGTTTTGCTTGAGCTCGATTCTCCCTGTGCTTGGCCATGCCCGATTTTTAACGTGTCGTTCTTTCCCTTGGGTTTCGATCTGTAGGCACCCTCGGGTTTACCCGAGGCATCGTCGAACTGCGTCGTCTGCCGCTTCTTCATTGGAAAATCGGGGGTAACTTTATCCCCGATTTTATCCGTATACACCAAACTTTTCTGGAGAATAAAGGAAACAATAGAAACGACAAAATAGGTCTTTTTATCTCCCACATAGCTAGTGTTAAGTGCAAGTGTATTATTCCAATCATATGTGGCTGCAGCATGCATGACAAATACGATTTTTTCTAATTCGTCATGTAACGAGAATTAAAATCTATTAAAACGAAATATAATCGTCTCTTACTTGTAGGCTTGTGATGCATAAAACTTAGGCACACACCAAAAGAGAGTGGAAAGATTAAAGGTGTTCTTTTTCCTTTTTCTCATTTTGGGTGTGTGTGGGTTGGGTGGGTGGGGGGGAGGGGGTCATTTGGTTATGTTGATTCCATTAAGGCGGAAACGTAGAAACTATTTGCTCCATTAGCAAAATGAGTAATTAGCTATAGAACTTGTGCTTAGAGAAAAAGAATTATGAACAATCAATATAGTTCAGATATAGTTCCAGTTTTGGTTATTGATTTTAAACCATTTTCCTTCGTAAAATTAAGAACATCAAATAAACATTTGAGAAATCCGATTTAAAATAAGGAATATATTTGAGTAATATGGACATAAAGAGTTTATTTTCCTTAGACTATGGCTAATAGTGTTATTATATTATAGGAAAAGTTACATGTTCTTAATTTTATCCCTTTCTTCTCATGAAACATTTTTTCTTTTCAACATTCAATGTCTTCATAGAAGAATTTCTTGAAAGCATCCACATGAACAGCTTGAAGAATGATTGCAACAGTCAAAGATCCATCCCCTTCATTTCCTGGAAGTATCACACAATCACCATCATATTCATGAGTTCCAGGGCTCATATGAATCTCTTTTCCCCACCCAAAATCCAATCCTAATAATGGCAAACTTATCCAACTTATAACCCCAAGATTAGGGTTTCCATAAAAAGGACCTTCCTTGCTTCTAAATGCATGAATATCTTGATACTTTGACAAATCCTCCTGGTTTTTCAAGAAATTAATCGTCGAGTTTGCATAATCACTCGTCACCATTTTAATAGCTGCTCGTACCCTTCGAGCAGCATACTCCAATGGCCTCGAGGTGATGTCACCCGAGACGCCATTGGCAATAACATCAACTATGGCATTACCAAAATAGGATTTAGGCAAAGGTGGTTGCATTATTTTGCGTATGTTAACACAAATGCATAAATTAGTAGGCTGCTCAAATTTATGACCTCTTGCCTTGCATGCACATCTCCATATATGTGCAGTCACAACTTCATAACGTGTGTAACTACGCCCTTGGTTATCTTGGTTCGCCTTTTTTCTCAACATTTCAACTTGATTTTTTGTAAGTTTTAGCATGGAACCCTTTGTTTCATTTTTCTTCTCCTCCTCACTGCTGGACTCTCCAAGCAAAAGTGGTGGTGGATTAAACTGTAAATGCTCAAACGTTGGAGATGCAATTGGAGGTTCCCCTGCTCGGAGCAATTTTCGATCATGAAAAGGTTCGTTCCCTAATGGCTCTCCGCGAGCAAGGCTAGCCCATTCGGTGAGGAAGTAAAGAGCACTTTGGCCATCCACCACAGCATGTGATATTGCAAAACTTAGTGCAATACCACCACACTGAAACTTAGTAAGCTGAACAAACAACAAAGGGAGTTCATCAATTGGGATTGTGTAGTCTACACGGGGAAACAAGCTATTAGAGTCAGGGGATGGCGAGAAATCGCCAAGATCATCTAGCTTGGCTTCTGTTTCAGCTTCCGTGAGCACAACTCCTGAGGCATTACAGTCGAGCTCGAGGCGGGACCCAGCGATCCATCGCAAACGACCAGCCAATGGATAGAAGTGTACTAGAGCTTTGCTTAGTGAGGTCCTGAGGGTTTTGATGATGTTGTTTGTTGATGGAAGACAATCCTGGCAAAACCTGTAGTAATAAATGGTTGGTACATGAGTTACAGCAAAAGTTTGATCGCATTCTGATAAGGAGACAGTGCCACTCCATGTTGGCTCTGCTGGCTTCACTACCCAATCGCTCTTCAAGCTAACCTTCATTCTGTCCTAAATATGTATATCGTTTTTGGTTAATCTTTTTATTCTTTTATAGAGTGTGTAGTACTATTTCAAGAATTAATCGGACAGACCAAGTTTCATGGCCAAATTTTAAGGTAACCACAAAGAAATGTGTTATTTGTGAGGGTGGTATGATTTTGTTTCGGCCGTGAAGTATGTTAGTTAGTTAAGGTAGCTTTCTCATGAACAGAGTTATTTTCTCAAGAATGTACATTGCACAAGTCTTAAGAGCCAACTAAAATAAAAATCCATTCCTCATCCAAACCCCTCAAGAGAAAATAGAAAAGGAATTAAATTACATATATTGGATGTGTAAATATCTTAAGCCGAGAGTCTATCGAAAACAATCTCTTTACTCCGGAGGGGTAAGGTCTGCACACACACTATTCTCCCCAGACCCCACTTATGAGATTTTACTGGGTTGTTATTGTTGTTGGCTGTGTAAATAACTTTTATATTACTGCTGTACTTTTATTTGTAATAATTAGTATAATTTAACTTGTTAACGCAAGTTACACTAGTAGTTATCTCCTAGGCAACCTGATAACGTAAAAAATTTATTAGACAGTCAGCGTATAAAAGTTAAAGCCGGAGATGCCAATTTAACAAGGAAAACTCCTCTCACACCCAAATAACATTCTCAGCTTCTAAAAGGAAATTCGTTCATTCATTGGTAAGGGAAACAACAGGTGTTTGTAAACAGTAAATGAAAGCTTTAAGTTTTCAAAGCAGAATCAAACAGAGCAGCCAACCTGCATATGAACTAGTTACTGCTTCTGTCTATGATCCTACAATGACAACCGAACCTTTGGAGCAGTATATGCTCCCATCTTTTACTTCAACCAATTATCAAATGTGCCTGCTAACTTGATCTGAGACAATGATGCAGCCCCCATAGACAACAGATAAAAAGAGGCAACAAACATGCGTCTGAGATTTGAACATGAATACAATTGTGACATCCATGTTCTACAGCAACCAAGAGTAAATTCAAAGAACAAGTCGAAATTATTTTGAATCCGAAATCAACAAGGTGGGGAGAAAGAATGTAATTGTACTTTCTTCCAAGATTATCACAGAACTCGAACTTCCTCTATGGTACAAACTTTGTGCGTGGCCTGCCCCACTCATCATCATGCAAATGCTGTCGATATAGTCATCATATTAATACTCATAAAGAGATAGAAAAAGAATAAAGTAATGTATAACAGAAAAGAACTAAAGAGTTAAAGTGGCCTTCTCACAGCATTTCACCAGAGGGTCATAAATGAAATGGTAATAATCTCCAAATATTGGAAGTCTACAACTAAAACAGATTTTAAGCAATAGTATCAAGCAGTGACTGTTTCAATTATATAAGGTGCAAATCAAAACAGCCATTTCAAGGATTCTGATAATCAGTTTCTTTCATTGATATAAGCTGTAATTTGGTGTTTTTTTACAATTGGTGGTGTTCGAGCTAGCTTGTAAGCACTTCCAACTACCCGCAGCCTCCTACTAGCATAGTTACTGGGTAACTCTGTCCAACAAGGAATCATATAAGCTGTAATTTCGTATTTTTAAGAAGTCATGACAGTATTAACATACCGTCTCCAATATAGCTATAAAGTAAACGACATAAGTGTGGGTAATGAATCTTTTTTATTGATAAGAGCGCAAATTGACTCTTAATTTACATTAATGCAGCTGATGCTACTAAGAACCTATAACAGAATTTGCACGAGCTTTCATTAGATGAATACTAATGATAAATATGCCGTGTCAGCCAATTAAATTCCAATGTGGTGAACAAGTAGCGGTGCAATATTAAAGTTCAAAAATAGACACTACCTAATCACTCACATTACTTAATCTGGTTATATCCACAAACAAGTATGCACCACGAAAGGGAGAAAGCAAAGTACACTCATGTTCATAACAATTAACCATAGGAACTTAGTGCACACCAAATCCAATGTTGTAGTTTAATGAAATCACTGTTCCTGTTAACAGTGGTGTATGTAGGATTCTGCGCAAACGGTGTCGTCGTATTACCGCAACTCAGCTTATATGCGATTTGGGTATGACTGTAGGGACTCTATGGCTTTAATGCTTGTTCCAAATTGATGTTGACTTTATATTATTTACGTATATATTTGTGAATTTTTCCAATTAAGTAGCGTCAATTGACATTCCTTGAAGGGAGGGTGTCTCCGCTACTGCCTGTTAAGTGCGGATAGAGCAGAACGATTGGAGAGGAATCTTTTTCTTTGTTCCTTTTTTTTTTTTGGTAAAATAATTTTATTGTAGATGGGAAGAAAAGTCTTGTATACAAATGGTATACCAATAAGTAGAGAATCTACAAAGAGAAAGATTACATAGGATTCATATTATATTATTGCCCCCAACTTTGCCTAGGACTGAGGTATAGTTGATTGTTAGAATGTTTCAGTTGGGTTGTCTCTTTTAGCATCATCGTGCAACCATATCAAAACTCTGGTTTGATGTCCACACTGTGAGAATGCACGGGAGAAAAATCTATTATTGATTAATTATGACAATGATACAATGAGCCCTATATATATACAATACATGTCCTACTCCTAATACATATGGGATTAGAGCTATTTACTACTATTTATACATGAAACTAACACTCCCCCTCAAGCTGGTGCATATAAATCATATGTACCGAGCTTGTTACATATATAACTAATACGAGGACCAGTGAGGGACTTGGTGAAAATATCAGCAAGCTGATCATTCGACTTCACAAATTTTGTAGCAATATCTCCCGAGAGTATCTTTTCTCTTAGCGATCCTGCAGTCTCCTCTTGCAGGATCGCTAAGAGGCTCCCCCTGTCCTGGCAGAAGTTTAGAATTCGGATCCATCGGAGTGTCAACAGGTCTACAACCTGGCATTCCTGTTTCCTCAAGAATATCTAAGGCATACTTCCGTTGTGAGATCACAATACCTGAGCTAGACTGAGCGACCTCAATACCCAGAAAATACTTTAATCTGCCAGATCCTTAGTCTGAAAGTGCTGAAAGAGATGTCGCTTCAACTTACTAATACCATCCTGATCATTGCCGGTAATAACAATATCGTCAACATAAACGACCAGATAAATACAGAGATTTGAAGCAGAATGTCGATAAAATATAGAGTGATCAGCTTCACTACGAGTCATGCCAAACTCCTGAATAACTGTGCTGAACTTACCAAACCAGGCTCGAGGAGACTGCTTTAGACCATAGAGGGACCGGCGCAACCGACATACAAGGCCACTAGACTCCCCCTGAGCAACAAAACCAGGTGGTTGCTCCATATAAACCTCATCCTCAAGGTCACCGTGAAGAAAAGCATTCTTAATGTCCAACTGATAGAAAGGCCAATGGCGAACAGCAGCCATGGATAGAAAAAGGCGGACGGATGCAATTTTAGCCACGGGAGAGAAAGTATCACTGTAATCGAGTCCAAATATCTGAGTATATCCTTTGGCAACAAGACGAGCCTTAAGTTGATCAACCTGGCCATCTGGACCAACTTTGACTGCATACACCCAACGACAACCAACAGTCGATTTACCTGAAGGAAGAGGAACAAGCTCCCAAGTACCACTCGTATGTAAAGCAGACATCTCGTCAATCATAGCCTGTCGCCATCCGGGATGAGACAGTGCTTCACCTGTAGACTTAGGAATGGAAACATAGGACAAAGATGACACAAATGCACAATGGGATGATGAGAGACGATGGTAACTTAAAACCGATATAATGAGGATTAGGATTAACTGTGGACCGTATACCTTTTCGTAGTGCAATCGGTTGATTAAGAGGAGACAAGTCCGCAGTATTAGCAGGGTCAGGTGCAGGACGTGAATCAGCTGGGCCTGATGCTGGGGGAGGACGACGATGATAAGTCAGGAGTGGTGGAGCTGTAGAAGGTTGAACTCGACTAGGTGGTGGCACTGGAGCTAGAGTTGGTGGAACTGGACTAGGTGGTGGCACTGGACTCGGTGGTGATACTGGAGCTATAAGTGGTGGCACTGGAACTGGAACCGTAGGCGGTGGAGCTATGGAGGAAGATGAATGGGAGATAGGGACTGAATCCCCAAAAGAAGGAACAGGTAGCACCTCAGAAATATCTAAGTGATTAACTGGACCTGTGAAGTATGATTGGGTTTCAAAGAAGGTAATATCAGCAGACATAAGAAATCGATGAAGGTCAGTAGAATAACATCGATATCCCTTTTGCGTTCTCGAGTAACCCAGAAATATGCACTTAAGAGCACGGGGAGCTAACTTATCTTTTCCTGGAGTAAGGTCATGAACAAAACACGTACTCCCAAAGACACGGGGTGGAAGAGAGAACAAAGGTAAGTGGGGAAACAGGACAGAGAATGGAACTTGATTTTGGATAGCTGTAGATGGCATACGATTAATAAGATAACAAGATGTAAGAACTGCATCCCCCCAAAAACGCAGCGGAACATGAGATTGTATGAGTAGGGTACGAGCAGTTTCAATAAGATGTCTATTCTTTCTTTCAGCTACCCCATTTTGTTGGGATGTGTACGGACAAGATGTTTGATGAATAATCCCATGGGAGTTCATAAATTGCTGAAACGGGGAAGAAAAATACTCTAGGGCATTATCACTACGAAATGTGCGGATAGAAACCCCAAATTGATTTTGAATTTCAGCATGGAAGGTCTGGAAAATAGAAAACAACTCAGATCGGTTTTTCATCAAAAATATCCAAGTGCACCTGGAATAATCATCAATGAAACTGACAAAGTAGCGGAATCCTAAGGTAGAGCTAACCCGACTAGGACCCCAAACATCTGAATGGACTAAAGTAAAAGGTGACTCTGCTCGATTGTCAAGACGCCGCGGAAAATGGGAGCGGGTATGCTTACCGAACTGACACGACTCACACTCTAGAGTGGACAAGTGAGATAAGCCAGGTACCATTTTCTGAAGTTCTGACAAACTGGGATGTCCTAACCGTTTATGTAATAAATCTGGCGAATCAGTAAAGGGAGAAGTTATTGGAGGAAGACAAGATGCGAGTCCGTGTGATTTTGCAAGGATAAGGTAATAAAGTCCATCTGATTCACGTCCGGTACCAATGATCCGCCCTGTACTGCGTTGCTGTATAAAAACAAGGTCATCAAGAAATAAAACAGCAGATTTAAGTGATTTGGCTAAACGACTAACGGCTGTGAGATTAAAAGGACTACCAGGAACATAAAGAACTGAGTCTAAAGGTAAGGAAGGAAGTGGACTTGCTTGACCTATTGCAGTTGCCATGGCTTGAGACCCATTGGCCATTGTGACTGTTGGAAGAGATTGAGAATATGAGATACTAGTGAAAAGAGATTTGTTACCAAAAATATGATCAGATGCACCTGAATCAATGACCCAAGACTCAGAAAGTGAAGATTGGGAGACACCAGTCATGCTACTATTTGTTGGAACAACGGAGGTTAATCCTGAAGATGTCTGTTTACGTGCTTTGTACTGAAGGAACTCAATATAATCCGGTAAAGAAACCATCTGGATTGGATTTATTGCATTTAATCCAACGGATTGTGAGTTAAAGGCTTCAGGTACGAATTCCATTATAATATTGTGCCGGAAAAAGCAGAAAATTGTTGGGGATCACTGTTCACGCCGGAAAAATCACTGTAGCTCGTCGGAAAATTCCAAAGTTGTCGGAATCTGTCGGAAATAGTACCAATGGACTCGGAATTGCAAGCAGATGAAGCTGTCCTGAAGAAACTTTTTCAAAATCTGACCAGAATAGTGTTCACGCGCCGGCGCGTGGGGCGGATTTGCCGGGAAGTTTCTGGCGCGTGAGGGCGCGTGAAGAGGAGTTTTCCGGTGGGGTTTACTGGGGTTTGGTCGCCGGAGCCTTGGGAACCCTGTGGTGGTGTTGGTTTTTGCACAACACCAACGGAAAGTGATTTTGTTACGGACAGCCTCTTAAGTCGCCGGAAAATTGCACGGCGACGAGGTCTTTCTTTCCGGAAGTTGATGGAATGACGCACAACTATAATTTTCTCACTGAAGCTCTGATACAATGTGAGAATGCACGGGAGAAAAATCTATTATTAATTAATTATGACAATGATACAATGAGCCCTATATATATACAATACATGTCCTACTCCTAATACATATGGGATTAGGGCTATTTACTACTATTTATACATGAAACTAACACACACAACATGTTACCTGCTCTAAAACACCCAAACCAGAGCCTGCTTTTGAGTAAAAGTGATGTAGTTTGGCGCAGACAGGAAGGCCAAAATATAATGGAGCCACTAAGCAATGGCAGAAGAGACATAGTTAAAGCAGAGTGTGAACAATCAAGAGCAAGACCAACAACCTGATTTCCTATATATCAGACAGATTGACAGCGTGGATAAAAAACCTAACATCACTTGTTTTACACGTTGGTATTTCCTTCATGTGCAGATAAAACTATAAGCACTTTGAATGTTTTAACCTTTGCTAATGTTCTTGTCTATTCATAGCACAACGATGCACCTAAGAAACTTTATTATTATACTCTTATTACTATGTTTCAACAGAAGCTTTTTGAACATTTAGCTTAGATTTGCTTTCTATATATATTATATTAAAAGCACGAAGGCCCTTAGCGAAATGCCGTTCGCCTTTTTTATCCTTTAAAAACAGATTTACATTGGACAAAATTGTAATTTAATTATTTTCCTAATATTTAGGATTTCAAAATTAATTAATATTTTTGGTTATTAAATCTTTCCTAATTGAGATAGGTAGAAAGTCCTAATATTTAAGGCTTTAAAAGTTTTACCTTATAAAAATTATTTTTATTTAAATTATGTAATATAATTATAATTCCTTTCATGTTGACTTTATAACTATAGAAGACTTTAATATAAACTAACAATTAAAATTGTTAAGGTTCGTAAAAGACACAGAAGATCCATTTATTAACACGCTTCTGTTACGGTTAGTTCATATTTTCATACAAAATATTTTAGCACCTCTTTTATTTATAAAACAACAATTAACCAAGGTGTTTGCATAGTTCGTGACGTGATGATTTAGTTGTATGCGTAATAGGAAAAAAAAGGTGGCGATACTTTGTAAAAAATAAATAGCAGATGCTATTAGGCAATTTAGTGATTATAGTTATGCTACGTAGTTAGCAATTTTTATATAAGATAAAATCTTAATTTATTTTAAACACAAAAAAAATTAATAACCGGAATATAAATTGATTTAGAGTCTTTAATATTAAAAAGTAATTAAATTATAATTTTTCCAATTTAAATCTAATTTCAAAAAACGAAAAAGTCAACCGATACTTAGGTTATAATACCTTCCATGTTGTTTTCTTAATATTAGGATTTACTAAAGTTTTATTTATTAAATATTTTCTTATTAGGTAGGAAGTCGTTAAAATCAATTAGAATTTTAAATAACTTATCCAAATCATTTCATCTTTTGAACAATGTAACATAACTGTTTGGAATGAGTCAAAAACACTAATGATTTACAAATAAAAAGATCCAAATATATACTTTTTCTCTATTTGAAAATATAATTCTTATTGGATAAAGTTATAATTACAGTTAAATATTTAAAATTTGGAATAAGATACTACTATTAGAAATTTAAGTTATTAAATTATTTCCTTTAATTTTGAAAATAATTAATTAATTCTTTGAATTAACTAATTAGCAAAAGAATCTAATTCAATACTTTTCCAAATTAATCATTCATAAGATGAACCAAAAAATAGACGACCCGATTATAAAATTTTAATTTCAACATTAATTTTTTTAGACTTTGTATTGTCAATGTCACATCTTTAGCGAGTATATGATCAACATTTTCATACTCAAATCTTTTAAAGACCAAAAGATTCAATTTTCAATTTGTGTTATTTGGAAAAATTTTAAAGAATCGTAATAAAAAAATTATTGTTTTATTTCACTATTAGGTTAGAAAAATAACAATAACTGTCATAAGATATCTTTACATAAGTTCTCGAAAAATCATAATAAGGCATTTGTAAAATTATGTAGAACAATATATCTTAATTTATTGAGCTTGCTAAATGGGAGCAACTTTTATTATTTTCAGGAGTTTTTTTTTATTTTTTATTTTTTTAGAACTCAACCACATTGTCTAATAATATTTACGTGATTTTTAAAAAATTGTATACTCATTGGATTGTACACGCGCAAAGCACGTACCCTAAGACTAGTTATCAGTAAATTACAGATTAGATTGTATATAGAAACCGTTCATAGACATTTTGATTCCCAAATTCGAAAAAACAGGAGGAATATAGTACTATACAGTAGGCACAAACATCTTTGATAATTGTTTTTCCTTTCAAGTGTTTGAAAGAATTCTGGAGATAAGGCCTAATCCTTTCTCAAAAGATAGTGTTTTCACTTGCTTCGAAGACCTTTGTTTTTCTTCTCCTGCCAGTTCACACTCTTTATTAGCAATGACGAAATCCCACTCACTCCTACACCCTCAGCCCCTACGCTGTCCAGATCCTTTTCTACTTTTCAATTTTGGAGATGTGCTGCAAAGCAAGGCCTCTTCGAAACAATGATCATGCTAATCTGAAGACTATTGTTTCACACAACTTCCCATATCAACCATCACACAAATTCATCATGCTCAACCTCCCCCCTGCCAGTGCACCGCGCCCTTGCCCCATATTCGTTTGACCCCTCATCCTGTTTGCCATCTACTCCGTCCTTTCAAGTTTCTATCAAAAGTGTGTCTATCGAACTAGTTTTGGTTTGTCATTTCTGAACTTATCTTGTAAGTTGTAACAAAGATATTTCCCGGTATTTATATCTACTTAGTTAAAGTTCTAGGTATTTTATTCCTCCCAACGTTTTTGGTCTTTTTTTCCTAGTCCATATTCATCTTAATATCTTATAAATTAATTCGTAGCAAGCCTTCTTATCCAAAAATAATAACAAGCACCTTCAAATCAGCTATTTCTCTTTTTCAGATAAGTTTTTCAAGCAACTAGTTCTCGCGACATTCAGCCCAAGAAATTTTATGGGAAAAAAAAAAGATGAAGACAATGGAGTGCTTTCAGATTGAGAATAGAGTGGTGTCCACTCTTTCCAATCTGAAATTACTAGGAGTTTCTTTTAGGTCAAACAATTAGAACACTTGATACTTCAGTCAATCTTAAAGTTATATAGAAGTGATAAGAAGAGGATGAAATGACCACTACTGCATCTTTAGCTTTCCAATTTTTATTTATATAAGTGAGAAAACATTGCTTCACAGCCCATTCTTCAGGCACGTATGGCTAATAAGGTGGTGGCCGGATTGCTGCGTAACACTCAAATATCACATAAATATTTACACCACTTACTTGTTTAAGATGTTACTTCACTTGTCAAAGTGTACAACTATGATCAATTAACTCTGTATGCTTAGCTAGATTATCAAAAAATGAAAATGGGCATTTGGTCATAGAAAGATACTTTCGGTGTCCACGTTTTAGAACTCTTTTACAGTGTCTTCCAGGTTCCAGGTTTCTTCTATAGTGCATATAACCAGAGTCTGCATTAGGTTCCAGGTTCACTGCCGATCATAGGAGGAACATATTGGTCTTCATGACCCTAATGTCATGCAAAAGCAGAACACATAAAGGCATCCTATCTTTACGACAGGCATATAGGAGATAAGCAGATAATAATATAGATAAAGTCAATGACACAAGAGCAAACCCTCCAGAACAACATTAGTGAAATCAACTACGCATGAAGAGAAAAAACCGCGAAAGGCAGTCAATCACTCAAAACAGAATTGCAGAACTATTGCATTCTGATCTACATTGTTAGCTTGTCATAACAAACGTATCTCTTAAAGTGAAAACGACATAGAAGGTAGGCCAAAATCTCCAAGTATATTATATATTCATAATCATATACAGCCTCTTTGTTCCAGACATACTAAAAGTTCAATATTGTCACCAGAATGTTTGGTTACTATATGGGCATTTTTGGTTTGGATCAATTTACCTGGTTTAAACATATCTTTTATCACAATCAGAATTAGTGTCTTGTTACTTTCAAAAGATATTGAGCAAATAAAACCATCATTTCATTGAATTTGATTATATTTTAACCATTTATCGAATAATCAATTTCCAAAATAATTTAAACCAAACAGGCCAAGAAAAAGTACACTTTCTTACTTGTGCCCACATGTGTTTTCTAGCGAAAAGATTAATTTTTTACAAGTTATTCAATAATAAAATTTAGAATCTTAATCCAAAAAAGGAATATCACAATACAAAAGCATAAATACAATAGAAACCAATAGTATATATTTATTAAAGAATTACCAAAAAAAACAGATCCAAATGAAAAAGGAAAAAGGGACTTACGAACTCTTTGACGATTCCCTTGTAAATCAAGACAGGGACAGCAATACCGAAGATACCGACGATAGCGAGGTTCCGGCGAGTCCATCGGAAGTTGTGCTCAAGGTTCTCCCTCGCCGCTCCCCATTCCTCTATCCACCGGTTCTTGTTGTACTCCATTCCCCCTCCCATCTTTCTCTCACCGCACTCTTCTAGGTGAAGTCCAAAATGATTAGGTGAGGAGGCTATGACTATTTATTTTTCTTATGAAATGACTGGAGTGCCCTTTTGGGGTTGTCATTTGACGGTTTATTACTTTATTTTTAGGGCAAAATAGTTTGCACTCATTTATATATAAATAAACTAGTTTCAAGGTACGCAAGTACGTGCGTTGCGCGTGTAACTCGTTCCTATGAGTACAATTTATTTATATATTGTGCTTGAGTTATAAAATAAAAGTATAAGTTTATGATTATGAATATTGATGGTGTATAATTAACTCAATAAAAAATTAATCTGTTTAATAAAAGTCCTAATCTTTAGTCTATAATTCAACTAAAATTTATTTCAGTTTTATAATGTCCTAATTACAATTTCACAAGTTATCGTGTTTCCTTTCAGTTTTAGCAAGAACACATATCAACAAATAACTAATATTCTACGAATTAGAAATAAACACAAAATCAAAGTGCAATAAAAATCAGAAAAAGACACTCAAAGAAGGATAATAAAGCAAGCTAGTGAAAGAAGGAGTTCAAATATCATGTATGAAAATGTATTGTAGCGCATATATACGGTTCAAAAGTTACATGGAAGGAATTTATATGGTTACTATAATTTTTTCAAATAAGAACATAATCTATATAAGGTTAAATTTTGATTGATCTCCAAATGCTAATAAATATATGGACTTGGTTCAATAAGGAGGATTTAATAAAATAAAAAATAGTTGATCTCAAGATACTAAATGTTAGTAAGAAAAATAACATTTAACGAATTATAATTACTTTGCAATGAAAACTTTATGAGCAAAGACTCTTTTTTACAAGTAGCCTAAAATACTATCTGTCTTCTTGAATAAGTAGTAGTAGCTAACATTTAGCCTAAAATAATTTCTAATTTATAGTGCTACTAATTATACTTATGTTACGTACATACTACGAGCCTGTTTGGACATAAGAATTTTTTCCCTTTTTTCAAAAGTTTTTCACTTTTTTCCGAAATCAGCGTTTGTTCATAAAATTTTCAATTTTTACTTGAAGATGCATTTTAGAAATTTTCAAAAACTTGAAAAACTCCAAAAACTCCAAAAACCTGTTTTTCTAATTTTCACTCAAATTGCTCACAAAACTTCAAAAACAACCCAAAACTATATTCATGTCCAAACACAACTCAAAATTTCAAATACCATTTTCACTTGAAAAATAAATTTCACCCTTTTTTGAAATTTTACAATTCTTATGTCCAAACACACACTACATTTACGAAAGAAGAATTTAGGGAAACTACCAGCTATGTCTTATAATTATCTCATTTCAAAAATTGGTCAATTTATAAAAATTACTAATATTAGCATATTAGCTATATGTAGCAAAAAAAAAAGGTCAATTTTTTGCTTTTTTTTAGTGGGTATCATTAGAATAGATTGGGTATATCTTGAGGAGATTGAATCAGAGTTTTTGGATAATTTGGTGGAGTTTTGAGGTGGTTTGAATTGAAAATTCGAAATAAAAAATGAACATGAAAAAAAATGATATGTGTATCACACTGTATCATTTGTGTATCATATATGTATCATATTTGTATCAATTGTGTATCACATGTATATCCATGTATACGTGTATGTGAGATAGATGCGCGATACATGTTTGATACATGTGTCGTAGAAGAATTTTTGAACTCCATTTAATTACGAATTTTGATACAAAATCAGTCCAAATCACCTTCAGTTTTCCTCAAATATTGTATATTGACTTATTCATATGTTTTCAATGAATTTCAACTATACCCATTGAAAAAGTTCCTTTTTTTGCTTAGATTTTTTGAATATTGTATTTTTTTATTTATCACATTATTGCTACCTCATCCATGAAATTTCTTTTTCGTCTTGCATCTAATGTTACTAATCACGCTTAAAAATATGGAATGAGATTTTTGCATGTGATTCTTTGAGAGAAAGAACCTTATTTATTGGGTTTTTCAATTTTTATATGTGTTTGGCTAATTTTGATAAGTTTATGACTAATGGCTAGAGGTTGGTAAGTTGAGACTTATTTGGGACATTTGTATAAGTTTCCCATGAATTTATGTAACTTAGAGCCTATTTGTATAGGATTATTTTAATTGATTTGGAGACTTAAATATTAGGACTTCATAAGTATTCCAAACAAGGAAAGATTTTATAACCAAATTTTAGTTGATTTTAAAGTCCTAAATATTAGGAAAATATCTTATTCATTATCCAGTGCAAAGTTTAGGTCAACTTTTTTTATTTTCAGCTAGTTTAAATATTTTGAAAAATATTTTCTTATAACATGTTTTCCTCCAATTTAAGAAAATAATTTTCCCAATCAAGATCAAGAAAATATTTTGTCAAAACTCAGTTTTAACCTTGCCGGCCTCTGCCCCCCCCCCCCCCCGACTCCTAAACCAGCTATGCCACTCCCGAACCCGAACACCCGACCTCAGACCCGGATCCCTAATCACAACCTTGGATCCCGACCCCGTCCCCCGTAGTGTTTGCGATTATATAAAAAAAACTATTGGAGTAATATTTCTTCTACCAAACAAGAAAATAAGTGAGAAACTCATTTTATGATGAAAATATTTTCAAGAAAAACCACCTTAGGAGTTGCCGAATCATTCTGCTTGAAAGCAGTAGACACGTGCAATTACAAAGCTATTGTATAGGGTAAAATATGCTATGACACGTGGCCGTCCAAAAAGAAGGACACGTGGAACTCAAGACGGGGATGACCAAAGATCGAACGTAATTGTTCCGCTTGTCACCGGAAGAAACAACGTTCATAAAAGTGTAATAAATGCTCTGTGCCCGGTAACATTTAATGAAGAATATTCCATGGCATTAAGAGCGATGGTCCGTTATAGGAAATTTGGCAATTATGTTCATTGTTACACCTTCATCAATGACCCTCATAATTGACATTAAAGAAGGGCACGATCCTAGGACCTTGTTCCCTAGATATAGCTATAAATAGTGAGCTCAGTTATCATTGTAAAGCACACGAATTTTCTGGCAAACCTACACTACATTTTATACAAAGCTTAATACAATCTTACTTTCTCGCTTTTTGATTTCATTATTGTTGTGCCCGGAAACCTTATTTCCGGAACTGTCACTTTTGTCATTTTGTCTATGTTTTAAGGCTAAGTATTGCATAATTCTTCGATTATTCTATTATTTCAGGATCAAATTAGTTCACTTGTCTAAAAACCACGTATAAATTCAACTATATCGATTTACGTGTAAACAGTTTGGCGCCCACCATGGGGCCTAAACAGTCGTGCAATTAAATTGATCCTTGTCTTTTGTACCAACGTGTTTTGATCACTTTGTCGTAGAAAGAATCATAAGAAATGGCAGATAACATTGTTAACAACACGCACAACCCCGAGGTTCGAGGAGATCAACCTCATTTCGAGGACTCAAACAGTGATACCCACAATGAGGGGAATGGCGCTACCGGTGCATGACAGGCATTATCCTTGACAGGTTCGAGAGACAACTCCCGATGATGCTGGGGAGGAGCATGTCGTTAACATAGTAAGAGTCTTGCAAGAGCAACAGGCGATCATTCTAGGCGATCTCACGCGACAGGATAAGGCTATGACGAAGTTTAAGCAGGCACTGTCGGGAGCTTCGAATAATGCAAACATACGAGATCAAATTCCTCCCGGTGTTCCCACAAACCAAACAACGCAGAGAGTCGACAACAACACTCCCAGGGGTGAAGTTGGCTCCGGCAGGTCTGGGGGGAGCAAATCCGATCTCAATAACGAGAATGATCCTTTCAAGAATGAACTTTTACAGTTTACGAGGGAAGTAAATGCTCGCATGGATCAAATTCGGCGCGCCGCCGGTACTGAAAGGCCCGGAATCAAAGAAGTATACTCAATTGTCGTACAAGCTAAGTGCGACACCAGAATTAATCCTGAAGCGGTTCAAAATGCCTGAAGTGCCAAAGTATGACGGAACTTCAGACCTTCTGGAGCATATTACCACCTACACAACAGTTGTGAAGGGAAATGATTTAGCTGCTCGCGAAATCGAATCAGTGTTGCTAAAGAAATTTAGGAAACTCTCACAAGGGGAGCCTTGACGTGGTATTCTATTACACCCCATATTTTCATACGTGAAAGTACGCCATAAATAAATTGATGAAAGCTCGAAAATGAAATATTACATCCCGCATTTTTGTACGTTAAAGTTTCGTCGTAAGTTAATCGACGTAAGCTCGGGAATGAGATTATTTTGAGATTATAAATATTACGCTATTTCTATCAAGTGATAAGTGAACTTGTGAAGGTGAGAGGGTAAGCGAATAGAAAAAAAATGAGTTTCATCGAAGTTCGGCAATTTGGGATAAAATATGGTCCAAGCTATAATACCCGGTATTTATGGACTAGTGCGATATAAGGTAACACATGACCATGATAGTGAGGTGTATAAGGTGTGCTAAAAATGAATAGTATTTTAAGTAATTTGAGATAATTCTTAATTATGTGGATAATTGGGTAATTATGAATTTTTAAGTAGGAGATTAACTTGTAAATTAAATTTTGTGAATAATTATTTAAGTGAAGATATGGATAATTGTTGGGGGGACAACAATCCATGTGTATTCATGAAGGTGTGGCAACAAAATTTCCAACAATCTTATGCCTGAGGAGGTGGTGGCACTACTTACATCCATCTCAATTTTGGGTGAAAAGATGCTATTAAGGAGGCCTTTCTAAATTCACAAAGTGAAAAAGTCTTATGACTTTGTGAAATTACAACAAACATACGGATGAAGCTTCAACAAAAGTCATACACAAGACTATGATCAAATTCACAAATTGAGATAGATTGGCAATGTGATTTTGCTTCAACAAAATTTCATACGAAGTTATACTGCGTAATAGCAACGGGATTTACAATTCTAAGAGAACACGGTACAATCTTTCTCAGGAATATCATACGGATTTTTCCTTACTCCGATCTCACCGTTACGTGTT